ATTATATGAGTCTGAGAAGAATCTTGGGAGGCAGGGACACTAGGATTTATGGTCTCTCAATACCTCTGGGAGTATATTAACTGATTATCTCTGTGTGTATGTGTGTGTGTAGCATTATATTGTCACTAAGTGTATGAGTTCGTGGCTATCCTTTGTCTTGTCTCTTGATAGTGGTTAAGTCTATTTTTTCCAGTCATGATTTCAGACATATGGTCTAAGGACAAAAGTAATTATGGGGACAGTGGGATAAAATATGTGATATTAGACGTGTCCTAAAAACATCCAGAAAATATACCTGGAATTCAAAACTAAAAACAAAACAACAACAACAACAACAACAACAACAACAAAAACAGGAAAATATGGGGAAAAAGTTGTTATGTTTGGAAACGAAGAAATTATATGTGTGTGTTCTATGCAGAGTACAATTTTAAAGTATAGACTACTATTTTTGCATTAAACACTTACTCTTTGATCACATTTATAGGAGTTTTTCCCAGTTGTTCTAGGTCAACTCTTACATTCTTCTCCAGAAGATAACTCTTTACTTTAAGCTTGACAGGAAAGTTAGAAGATTATGCTACTTTCCTAGAGGGCATGCCTAGCTTGTCACAAACTGAATGCAAAAATTTATTAAACCTCATGATAGCTGTCTTCTACGTAATTCTAGATAGGAAACCAGAGTCTCTGGAATCACAGGTGATATTTTCACTACTATTTTTAATTGTACTGGATTTTAGAAGAGAAAGGAGGATTAGGTGTCCCTAGGTGTGGGCTATTGAAGTAAAACCAATTAATGAATATACACATAGGACTAAAAAATGGGTTTTAGTTTTCTGAGATGTGCTTTAAGAAAACAGGCCAAGAATGAAATATATCCCATGAAGGTTGGGATATACATGTTTGCTGGGCAATTTGATAATCTGACTTTTGTTTTAACATTTGAACTGAAAATGAGGAGAGAACGTGCCCAGATAAAACTATAAAATTTATTGTTAAGATAAATGGGCATGACATAAAAAAGAAAATAATAGTTTTCTTTTCAAAAACATAGCTTTGAAATAAGGACTAAATAAAGACAAAAACATTCAATGTTCTCAGAGGTTGATAGTTTAAAAAGAACACTTATATCTTCAGCTGTTTGTATATCAAAGTATGGGAGGTAAGTAAAGGAGATAGAAATGTGTATCTTTGGGAAAAGAAATGACCAACTAGAGTACTAGTTTACTTCCCCTTAAGTCAAAAAGAAATATATCTGCATAAAAATCTATTAACTAGAGTAAGGGCAAGTTGAAGAGCATCTGGGCAAAAATAAAAGAGATAAGATACAAATGCTATGGGAGGAATATACTGCAAGATGATGATTTCTCACACATATCACAAAACTGCCACTAAAGTGACCTTTAGTAGTGCTATAAGATTTTAACTATTCGGACATCTGCTGGAAGTCTCATTTAAGCCCAAAACAATGCTTCTGATAATTTCATTATTTGCTTTGTTGACAATTTCATTATTAGAAGAAACAAGGAGGGCAACTGATACTTTTACCCTAATTCTAACCACAGGAGCTGGTTGGTGATGAGAACCTGGTTGAGTTCAAGATAGATAAGAAGTGTATATAGTCAGACATATGCTATAAGAAAGGGAAGCAGGCTTTCAAAAGAAGCTACAGGAAAGATGTTTGAGGGTCAAAACAGAAAGACATTTTGACAGGATTGGACATTTATTAAAAATAAATTCTGATGGCAGTTTTGTGGACTATCTTGATGAGAAAGAAAAAGAGCTATTTAAAGAATCTGAGGCACTTCTAACAAGAAGCTCTTAGATGGAAAGAAAGGCATCTAACCAAGAGCAAACAAAACAAGTAGCATGGACCCATGCTGCGAAAGCCAAAGCTTCCTCTTTCTGTAAGGATTGATATTCCGGCTCTGTACATTATACCTGATAACGCTGAAGAAAGTGACTCCTGCTGCTCAGCGACATGCTCTGCCACTATGATATGCATAGGTCCATGTCAATCATCCAGGGTTTTGCATTTCCCCTCTCTCACTACTAGGGGAGGTGAGACATGTCTCCAAAGTATAAATGTGAAAAACGGACAGGCTTATAATTTGAAACAGATAATGGAATACTAAGAGTTGACAGAAAAATAGTAGACCTCTTAATTTTTTCTTTATCTCAACTTCACTGTCAAGAAGAATTACAAAAACATTCAACGTTCTCTGTCTGAAAAGTCTTATCAAACTCTGGTAAGAGGGAACTGAGAGGAAAACGCTATTAAGGGGAGCTTTATTATCCAGTATCCTTCTGCGCATATATTTATTACTTATCCAGTTACATTTAAGAGCTGATTACTCACTGAATACTTGCTGAATAGATAGTAAACAAATATATGTGTCCTCACATACAAGACCTAGATGATATACTATTCTCTAGGACTGAAGCATTCTTACTTAGGTCACAGACATTTTACACTATTGGAGGCTTAAGAAAAATTCACAAATTAAGGATAATGAAAACTGACATAATTATTAATAATTTTGTTTGAGAAAAATAGTACTTATTACTCTGAAGTAGGAACTAAAAAATTAGTTCAAAGGAGTCAGTGGTAATAAACTTTTCTTCTGGTTAAAGCTATATCAAGCTCTTCAAAAACAAAGTAATAAGGAAAAAATGAAAACATACAATGGAATCACAACATACATTTAACTTATGCAAATTCAACTACATGTTCTTAACAAAGCGAGATAAAAAATAATTTTAAAATGTGGTTGATTTCATTATGAATTTTACATATACGTAAAATGTGTAATTACAGGATAATTTTGACTACATGCAATTTACAATGTCATCACTCAGCAGTACTTTTTTTTTTACTGTTGCTAATGTCAAAGCAAGATAATTAACATAAATTTATAAATATAGTGCTAGATACAAACCTATAGATTTCAACATTCTTGTTGTTTTGTCTAGAGAGTTTAGAGGCACTTGCTTCTCCAGCCACAATTACAGCATTGTTTTCCATGACAACACCAGTACACACAGTTCCTAAACCCTCCCCATACTTGGGAGATGAGATAAAATAGGTCTTCCGTGATGCAGGATCATAACAAAAACTGGCATCCCCATAGTTCCTATGTCTTGACCTAATTCCTGAAGAATTGTTGCCAATGCAAAGCAAAAGACTAGTAGTCTCCATGCCATAACGAAGATTTAGAGGGTGTTGTTGAGGTGTCTTGAAAGCTTTGAATGTGTTTTGAATTATGTCAATGCAATTAGCATCACATAGAAGCATTGTGTTCCTTTTTAGGGCTTGTCTTAAAAAAGAAGGGTTTATAAGTTCCAATCTGACTTGCTTCAAAAGCTCAACAAGATGTTCTTTGCGTAATTCTTGGTCACGATTTACCCATCTCAGAACTAAGTCCAGAATGCTCTCCTCTCTGGATATGTTAAGGTCATCTGATTTAATAAGCGTCAGAAATTGATGCACTTCGATTTCTAGTATTTCTTCATGTAAGCTTGCTTCAGCGAAGTGCTGATATAAATATTTCTTCGACTGATCAGATAAATCTTCAGCTCCAATCTGCTTTGCAAAATAATAGATACCTACACAGTTAGAGGCATCCATATGATCCATCATATATTTTTGACACACACTAAAAACTTCTTCTATCTGCATAAAATAGGCAGCCATAGCTACAGTCTGTACATTGGCATTATTGATCTCCAAAGCTGCATTGTACATGAAATTTAATATAACCAACACACTTTCTGCTGTGGTGTCATAAAGTATGACTTCTCTCTGAGTACATTCAAGTAGTCCACAGGTGAACATAGCTTTGAAATAAGGACTAAAAGCAGCCAGGACCAGTCTGTGGCAAGGAAATTTCTCTCCTTCTGCTATGAGTACTACATCAATCATTTCTGCTAATTCTTTCATGTTCTTAACTTTATTCAGTAAATTCAAGCTGTGTTGGTATTTTTCTTTTCCCTCAATCTTGCATGCCATGATACACTCTCCAATGTGTCTAAGTAAGTCTTCTTTAGATTTAACTTGATTCTTGAGGGGTTATTTGCATGTCTGATTACTCACAAAGCAACAAAGATGTCTTACAATTTTCCTGAGAGAAAGAAAAGAAACAGTTTTTTTCTAAGAAAAAATTCTCTAAAATTTAAAATGCAACATTAGTTCTAAGACATATTTATAAATAGATATTACTCATTCTAAACAGAGTAGTTTAAAATAACTACTTTTTATATCTAAAAAGAAGATCGATTGTATAAACAGCAAAATTTTAATCACTAGCAATATTTTCCTAATCAGCAGCAGAGATTTTTCTAGGAGGGCTGGAAAGTCCTCCCTCCAGTGGTAAATAAAGAGAGAAGTGATAAGATGGGCACATTCTGCAATCCATTTCCAGTTAACAAATACAGCTGCCCTGCAAGCAGAAAATACAAAAGCATTAGGTAATGTTCTCTCTGAGGAGATGCAACATCACCTAGAGGGTTATGTTCACCTCCCCCCAAAACGCACCCAAATGTTAAAATGGCCAATTCACAAAATCACAACAGGGGCCATGTAGGATGGCTGGAAAAAAAAGTCCACTAAAATTCTTCTAAAACTTTGCTATGGGGCAAATAATTCAAAACAGATGCTTTGGAAAACATGACCAATGTCTGTTGATCTGAGAATTCACAAATCTTGAAACTTACAACTAAATCATCCTAAATTTAGAAAACGCACAAAAATCATCCTATTTCTCTCTCCTCCCTCTTTACTCAGTTTTTCTTTGTTCCCTATTTCATAGTGGCAGAGACTGTATCACTTCTTGTTTTAAAAAAGCACTAGTCTGATTAAAAGTCTCTTTAAGGTAGATGTCTCAGCTTCACCTTCCCCAGAAGAATGAAAACAGGCTGTTTCAAGGAAGTTAATTAGCTGTTTTGATTTAATGAAGGACATTCCTAGAGTCAGAAACCTTAATGTGAGGAGCAGATCTCAAATCTTTGTCACCCTTTCTAGTTCTTACTTGGCTGTAAGTTGTGTGCGACACGAATAAACATTGATGGGAGAAAAATCAGTACTAAGAGTTAAAAAAGAAAGGGAGGTGATAATTTTAACAATGTTAAAGTAAAAATTGTCAGCCATTAGAGTTATAAATTTTCTAAATCTCCAATCTTAAAAAAGGTTAGAAATCTCATGTATCTTACTTAGTGAGACATGACAGTTTTTTTAGTGCTGAATTAAAGTTCTTTTCAGGATACAAGTATTAAGCATGATAAGAATGTATAATTATATAATGGCAACTATAAGACCTATAAAAAGGAATACCAACTAGCCAATCTGAGAATCTGTATATTCGAAATAGGAATAAAACCTTCCTTGCCAGATTTTCTGGTATTAATAACTCAGTTTTATTTCGATAAAAGCTTAAGACCTTCTTTGCAAGGGTTTGCAGATTAAAAATGGACCTTTGCTTTTAGTTCTCATTTGTTTTAGATTTTTACAAAGAGAATCCAATTATGAGCTAAGAGATCATTTCATTATATTTCTGAACTCTCCTACAACACATTATGACTTGCCCAAATCATATTATGTAGGCTACCTTACATATAAACACATCAACTATAGATGACAGTTGTCACTTTAAGTTGAAAAGCATAAAACCTATCCTATAACAAAATAGATCTTTAAAAATTTCTAGAATTGCACCAATATACAAGAATCCCTCAAAGGATATCAGTCTTAACAATGCTGGAAAGCCAAGTGCAGCTTTCAGATAGGATCACTACGTTCAACACGATGCAGGTAGCTGCAGGTAGTTCAGACTCATTAGTTCCTAAAATGTTGATCTTGATGTTGCTAGGACAGAAATGAGATGCTGAGGACTCAAATATTATGACCACACTGTAGGATTTTGTATCTTTAAGACAGGACCCAAACCATCCTTGTTAAACCTTTCATCATATGGCTATTTTAAAAACAACACAGGTAGCATCAGTTTCAAAAAGAGGTTAAGAATGGAATAATTACTGGTACATGTTATGCTTATTTTCTTTTTAAACACATTATACATAATATCACATAAACTTTATAGTGGACAATGTTGGATTTACCCCAGCATCCAAACTGCCTTCACTTGGTAAAATTGATTCCAATCCATTTACCACTCTGACAAGGTCAGGGATGGATGTGAGACCTGAGACTGGCCTAATAAGAGTGAAACTCAGGTCTCTGGTTCAATGGTTGGGGGTCTCAATGTCTTATATAGATGAAGGATCTGGAACTGCTGTGGCCATGTTGCCATAAGCCAGTATGAGGACAATATAAGGAAGGTGCATAGAATCTTTAGCAATGGGTTTGAAACATGCCTTATATCTATTTTTCAGTTTGGGGAGACAAATCATTCCTTTTATTGTTTAAATTAATTTGAATTGAGATTGCTTTTATTGGCACTCAAGGGTCCTTACCACTATATGTAGCATATGCAAAAATATTTAGAAAGGGTTACCTAAGGTAATTGAAACTATATTTTTTAAATAAAATTTCACTTCTGTTATATTCTTATATTTTCTATTATTATACTGTCAAGTAAAAAAAGAAAAAACGTAGAAACTTCTAACCTATCTTCATTTCTCCTTGATAGAAAGCAACAATCACTAAGTCACTCTTCTAAGTTTACTTCTCATTAAATGGCCACATCATTTTACAGGTGCAGAAACTGTCTTGAACCCAGTTTCATCTGACTTTAAAGTTTGTAAACTTAACTACTCCCTCTAGTGCAAGTGTCAGCAAACTAGAGTTTTGTAGGCCATAAGGTCTCTGTACTAACAACTCAACTCTGCTGTCGTAATGCAAAAGCAGCCATAGACAATAAATAAACAAATGAGTATGGCTGTATGCCAATAAAATATTTTATGGATATTGAAACTTTAATGTCATATATTTTCACATGTCATGAAATATTTTTCTTCTTTTCATTTTAAAAAGCTATTTAAAATCATAAAATTCATTCTTAGCTCATGGGCTATATACCAAAACAGGATGCAGGTCAAAACTTCTGCTCTACTCATAAATAAATCCATTTTCTAGATTATGAGCATGACAATATCCTGTCTGGGTACCTAATCTACACTTCTCTGCTTAAATCCAGCTAAAGAAGTTTCAGAAGGGGAATGGTCAGATTCTTGTTTTAAAAAGATCATCTGGTTGTCTCCAAGTTTCTCAAATATAAATCAATTTCTTTAATAAATACTTTATTTGGACTCAGCTTCTCTGTCCCAAACGCTGGCTCCAAAACAAAAAAAGATACTTTAAAAAAAGAAATAACTGTTTCAAACATTCTGAGGAAACATTTATGATTTTTTTAGATGTGCATATATATCTCTCAAGTAACTCTTCCTTCCACTTGCCTTTTATACAACTCTGGAAAGCTACCCTAATTGATATGGATTTACAGACCAAATGTATTTACTGATAGAAATCCTGAAAAATACCTGAGCAATTAAATTAGCCATGACATTTCAAAAACACTCTTAGCATTGTTTTTTGTACATATAAAGTGCATAGAAAATATTGGCAGTGCAATTAGGGGTTTGGATGTGAGTTAGTCCTAGGTGTGAATCTCAGTTTAGCCACTTCATTGCTGTAATCCTAAAATTACTAAACCTTTCTCTAAACCTTGGTTTCTTCATCTGTAAAATGGAGATAATGTATATAAATAAAGTAGTTAGATTGAGCATCCAACAAAAATTATTGTTAGTTTACAGTGGTATAGCGCAGTGTAGCTCAGAGGTAAGAAACATGGGTTTTGCTTGGGTTACTGAGGCCCGGGTGTGAATCCTTACTTTGCTACCAAGCAACATGAGCAAGTTTCTTAGCCTCTTTCAGTTTTCTCAATTAAGATTAGTTTTAATTATTTAAGAATAGTTGGGCGAATTAAATAACGCCATGCTTGTGCAATATGTATTTGCTTGGTAAAATTTGCCTGGTAAAGCTAAGGCAGGATATCTATATAAATAATTTTCAAATAATAACAATGTTTGGGTCCATATACAAACTGCTTGTGGTTACCAACACAGCTCATAAAAGAGAGCTGACAGCAACTTTTTCTTTAATGAGGGCATAGAGGGCATTCTCCTTTCATCAGCGAGACAAAATTGTATCAGTGTTCTCAATGATATCAATGGGAAGTTATTCTCTGCTCCAATTTATAGAAGACTGAACTGGTGCATTCATATTAATAGTACCCATAATAATGGAGAATAAATGAGCAGCAAAGATAAATATAAATCACAAGAATAAAGCCTAATTACTTTGCAAATCCAAAATGCAGTTGTACTCATGTCCAGTATATTTAGTTTTGAGAAATGGACTGCTCTAAATTTTAATGTGACATAATAATGTTAATTTACTTAAATTACCACTGTTTTGCTTTCACAATGTTTAATTTTATAATCTTTACATTATCTTTAAAGTTGCTTTTTTTCTAAATAACAATTTACATATAGCTATGCCTCCATGTTTTATCAAAGTTAAAAGTAGTTTAAATTCATAGCAGCATTGTTTGAAAAGCAAAAAATTGGGAATAACCTAAATATACATTAACAGAATAGGCTGTAGTGTATTCACTCCAGAGAATAGTACACAGCATAAAAAAAAAGAATGAACTACAGCTACATGTATCAATATGGGTGAATTTCACAAACATAATAATGTATAAAAAAGGCTATAGAAGACTAGATGCCACATATTCTTTAAAGATACAAAAAACTGTAGTAGAATATAAAGAAATTATGGGTAATTATAAATACCAAATTCAGGATAGTGGTTGCCTTCAGGAGGTGAGAAGGAGGAAGACAATTGGAGAAGGATGACAAGTTTCAACTGCTTGTTTCACTTCACTTCACTGTTTCACTTCACCAGCTGTATGATGGGTACCCAATACATAATTATTCTTTATGCCTTTTTGTATGTCTTAAATATGGCATAAACTAAGTTTAAAATAAAAA